TTTTTTCTCAGTGCTTGCTTATTAAAACCGCCCACTCAGCCCCTCGGGTCACGCTCACGGCCCACCGGCCACCTGCCGCCCCCTGTCCGTCAGTCAGTGAACTCGGGGCATAAAAATACCACAGGGGGCATGTCATACATTTGCTTTCGCTTTCGCCAGCGATTAGTCAAAAGACTGCGGGCTCTGCGTAGGGATGCTACGAGGGGCAATACGAAAGAGAATCGAGGGGCGGGGCACTAACCACTATAGAAGGAAAGGCCCCATCAATATTTATAATGTTAGTTTTAAATTAGCGTAAAATAAACGACTGGCAAATATTGAAACAATCTCGGGCCCGTGGCTCATTATGCTAAATATGATTTAATCTTTTTGCCGAGAAACCGAGTATGGCCTGGCTCACCTGTACAGTCAATCCTCGCCTCCGCATCTCTGCGTACCCTCTGGGGGAAAACCTTTTCACAAAATCCGCTGCAAATCCCTCAATCAAATACACACTGCAAATGGGTGAAAGCTGTGTGAGAAAAGCAACAAAAAAAAAAGAGAGAAGTGCAAAATATACATAACACTCGTACAAAGACCTAGCGAAAGGCCAGGAGAGAGTTAAGTTAACTAACGAGAACAGTAGAGCAATTAATTCGAATCAAATATTGATAAGAAGAGGCATGGGAGCCATACTCTAGCAGGCGATGATTCACAAACTTGGCCAATGAAAAATGTATCCCACAAATACACTTTAAAAGGGAAAATGATAATCATTTCCACGCCAACTAAGTTTACAAATAATCGATTGATCGCACTATTGTTATCAGGGTTGAACTATCCTTATCGATAGTGTTTGGAGCGAAGCTGACATCTCTGGTAGATGCCCAAATTTTCCTTTATAACCCGAGACCCATCAGATCTCAGAGCCAGTTGCCGTTTGGCAGCCAAGCCGTCACAATCTGCCCAAAATATTATTGATTTTTTTTTATATTTTTATTTTTATTAAAAAAGAGCGTTGAAAAATCTAATTTTCTTATTCTTTATGTTTATTTCGCAGTTTTTATTTGACTTGTAAATATTCTTTTTTTTGCATTACTTAAGAAAAGATTAGAGTTCTTTTACTTTTATTTTATTGACGCCTGGAACCTCCGAGATAAGAAAATTGGTAATTTCTGGTAAACTGATAATTTCTATGTATTTCATGGTTAATGTTATGTCCATCACTTAAAAAAAGATAAAGGTTTTAATTATACTTTTTATTTTATTTTTATTTACGTCTGGAATTTCCGAGAGAAGGAAGTTCTTTTTTCTTGATTGGAAGAATGGGTTTATTATTTCCGGTCACCGTACACAAAAAATAATTTCTTTTTTAATTTGTATTTATTTTTTTTATGTTTTTTTTTTTATCTTGTTAAAAATATGAGATTTTGCATCCTTTCGAATATGCAAGTTCGTATGTTATCAAGTCCAAAGTTTATTCCAACTTCATTTAACTGTGCATATAATTTTTTTTTCCTTTAAAAAATCTTTAACAACACTCGCTTAAAAACTCGATTTTTTTTTATAAAATTTCTAAAACATTAAATTTATTTATGAATTAATAATATGAAAGCTTTTTCTGGCGTATTTTTTTTATTTAATAAGATAATAAATGAAATAATGTCGGATGGGATGTTTACTGCAAATATCGAATATAGTTGGCTGATTGTTATGAAAATTTTAAAACCAATTTATAAGAAAACAAAATTTAAAAAAAGTCTCAAGCGTCCAATGAAGGAATTTTTACCAAATTTTTACCATTTCCAATCAGTCAGTTTACAAAAAAACTAAAGTTATACCATTTCCGATTAATCAGTTATATGGCAGCTATAGGACATAGTCAGCCGATCAAGGCCGTTCCGACTTATATACTTGTATTCTGATTAAGGATATATATACTTTATAGGATAGGAGATGTCTCCTTCACTGCGTTGCACACTATTGACCAAATTTATAATACCCTCTGCAATATCAAGTCTAGATTTTCTTACATTTTAGACTAGAAAACCCCCTTTAAGCGCGACATTCATTATAAGGCGACTATGACGTCATTAAAATCTGTTTGAAAAGTACTTTCCATTTGGAGAAAATATATAAAAATATATATAACAAGAAAGGAAAGCTAACTTCGGGCGGAGCCGAAGTTGATATACCCTTGCAGTTAAAACCGGATATATATCGCAAACATCGGATTTAGTTGGCCGATCCTTATGATTACATTATAATAAAACCAATTAATTAAATTACAAAATCTAAAAAAAAGTCCCAAGCTTCTATCGTCAAAAAAACAAAGTTGTTATTTTTACTAAACACCAAATACCATTTCTGATCGTTCAGTTATATGGCAGCTATAAGATATAGTCGGCCGATCCTTATGAAATTTGGTAGGTTGGATCAACTGACCAAAAATAGAATCTGTATGGAATTCCAGCATTCTATCTTCAAAAACACGAAAGTTGGGTCATTTCCGATCGTTCAGTTATATGACAGCTATAGGATATAGTCGGCCGATCCTTATGAAATTTGGCACGTCGTATTGTTTTGCCAAAAATAGCTCTCATGTTAAATTAGAACTTTCTAACTTTAAAAACACCAAAGTTATACCATTTCCGATGAATCAGTTATATGGCAGCTATAGGATATAGTCGACCGATCCCGGTCGTTCCGACTTATATACTGCGTGCAAAGGAAAGAAGGGTGTGTGCAAAGTTTCAAGTCGATAGCTTTAAAACTGAGAGACTAGTTCGCGTAGAAACGGACAGACAGACAGACAGACAGACGGACAGACGGACAGACGGACAGACGGACAGACGGACATGCTCATATCAACTCAGGAGGTGATCCTGATCAAGAATATATATACTTTATAGGGTCGGAGATGTCTCCTTCACTGCGTTGCACACTTTTGGACAAAATTATAATACCCTCTGCAAGGGTATAAAAATAACATAAAATATAAATAATGTAAAATATTCATAATTTGTTACGTATTCATATATATATACATAAAGCCTTCTTATATACTAAGAAAAAAAAGCTAAGAACATAAACCAGGTCTTGTTGCTAATCACCTCTCTCTAATCTCAAAATACCTTCCGTACGCGTTCTGTCTGTGGAATATTTCGGCTTTTCCATATGTGTGGGTGTGTCCCAATTCCTTATCAGAAACTCTGAAGCTCAATTTCAAGCTCAAGGCCACGACCGGCTATAAAAAGCCGGATCTTCAAGACTCGCAGCATCAGTTGAAATATTCCCACAGACTCTTTCAGTAGAAAGTTCAGTTCAATCAAAAAAATACGTGATAATCTTCCCCGTGGCCTTCACTTCCAGAAAGCATCTGGCAGTTGACAATTAAAAAGCTCTAAAGCTCAAAAGATCAAATTACGGAACTAAAAGAAAAAAGTGAGCTTGCAACGTCGAGAAATCAGTTCCGCGAAGAAATCGACAAGTCATCACCGCCAAAAATAGTAAAGATTGGAGGAATGGATGAAAATAATCCAACAAAGTCGGAAGCAGAAACTGAAGAGGTCCGAACAACTCCACTGCTTAATATTAATAATCAGACGACGTCGAAAACGGAAACCATAGGTAAGCCGGCAGAACAAAATCATTTACAAAATAAAACAAAAAAATTTTTCAGATTTTCCAGATCTTTGTCCACAAAGCCAAAAAGGGGGGAGCCACCTTCGCGAAATCCAACTACCAGGCTTAGACCCGATTAAAGTGGCTTATTGTTCATATGATGACATTGGCTCTGGATGGTGGTTGGTTTACAGAAAATTAAATAGGTCACGTATATTTAATCGCCCGTATGAGGATTATGAACGTGGATTCGGAAATCTTGAATTAAATTTTTTCGATGAGTTCTTTATTGGACTCAATCGATTGCACCGTCTGACCAGAGAAAAGCCTCATGAATTGGTTCTCTACGCCGGTTCGGGGACAAGAAGATTCGACCACTTTGTAGTGGGCGATCGAAGCGAAGGTTACAAGGTGAAAAGTATTGGCAATTGTACTGGAGACGACGTATGGATGAGCCCTAAGCAGGGCTCTAAATTTTCCACGTTCGATCGATATGAGGATGGAGTTCCTGGTCGTAATTTGGCGGAGGAATGGGGCTATGGCTGGTGGTTCGAACCTAGTATGAGGTGTGTATTCGAATTTTGTTTTTAATTTTGTTTCATCTCCTACTGGACATTTCTAAAATAACTAACATGAATAATTGTTTTAAATCTATTTTTCTATTGCTAGATCTATTGGGAACGAAAATCATTTCATAGATATGTACATCCGAAAAACAGATTGAAGAAAACAAAAAGTCTTTTAAGACGGACTTGGACAATAAAACAATTTTGGAAAATATATGCAATCTTCATATGCACTAAAATGAAATTATATTAATTCTATTATAAAGACGCTTATTAGATAAAGTGTTTTCTTCTAGATTTTAAACTTTTAAATAAATTAAACAACAAAAAATATTCAAAAAAAAAAAACAAAAATTTTTAGACTAGAAGACCTCCTTTAAGAGCGACATTGAGATAAGGCGAAACATTTGTTAGCGATAAGACGACTATGAATCATTAAAATCTGTATGAAAAGTACTTTCCATTTGGGGAAAATATATAAAAATATATATATAATTACCTATAATAATAATATAAAATATAAATAATGTAAAATATACATAATTTGTTACATATATGTATATACATATATATATAAGACCTTATTATATACCAAAAAGAAAAAGCTAGCAACATAAACCACATCTTGTTGCTAATCACCTCTCTCTAATCTCCAATAACCTTTGACATCCCTTTCGTACGAATTCTGTCTGTGGAATATTTTGGCTTTTCTATATGTGTGGGTATTTCCCAATTTCTTATCAGAAACTAAGGCTCAAGCTCGTGGCCAAGGATGGCTATAAAAAGCCGGAGCTCCAAGACTCGCAGCATCAGTTCAAATATTCCCAGAGACTCTTTTGGTACAAAGTTAAGTTCAATCAAAAATATACAAGATGATTTTCCCCGTGGCTCTTATTTCTGCCATTTTCCTAATTTCCGCCTCCCTGGGATCGGAAGAAGTAAGTTATACCTTTTTTGAGTGTTTTTATTTTAAAAAGTAATTTAATTTTTAATTCCAGTCATGCTACCTCTCCGAAGAGGAGGAAGATCAATGTGCATCGGTTTGTTATCCAATCGTGAAACCTCTACTACGCTATTTTGAGAAAACTAATGAAAAGGATGCCCAGCTCCTAAGGTGCAAAACAGACTATTCAGAACTTCAAAAACGACATTCAGACTTGCAGAGCAAGGATCTTAAACAATATGCCCAGATATCCAAATGCCAACAGGACTATTCAGACTTAGTGAAATCGAATTTGGAAGTGCTGAGTCAACTTAAAGATAGTACAGTCAAATATGTGCAGTTGCATTCGAAGCAGCAGGAAGTTGAAAATCTAATAAATCAGAAAAATACGGAAATCGACCTCCTAAAAGATCAAATTAGGGAACTAAAAGAAAAAAGTGAACTTGCAACGTTGACTAATCAGTTCCGCGAAGACATTGCCAAGTTGGGAAATATAGTAAAGATTGGAGGAATTCATGAAAATAATCCAACAAAATCGGAAGTAGAAACTGGGGAGGTCCCAACAACTCCATTGCCTAATATTAATATTGAGACGACGCCCAAAACAGAAACCATAGGTAAGTCGGAAGAACCCAATCATTTGCAAAATAAAACATAACATTTTTATATTCTATTTAGATTTTCCAGACCCTTGTCCACGAGACCAAAAACAATTAAGAGTCCTCCGCGAAATCCAACTACCAGGCTCAGACCCGTTTAAAGTGGTTTGTTTTTCAGATTCGGATATTGGATCTGGATGGTTTTATGTTTATAAAAAATGGTATCATTCAAACAAATTGAATGGCACGTATAAAGATTATGAAAGTGGATTTGGCCATGTCGGAACTTTTCCTACCGCTGAGTTCTTTATTGGACTCAATCGATTGCACCATCTGACCAGTGGAAAGCCTCATGAAGTGCTTTTATGGTCCAATAGCATGGAAAAAAGATGCAAAAACTTTGTAGTGGGCGATCGAAGCGAAGGTTACAAGGTGAAAAGTATTGGCAATTGTACTGGAGACGACATATGGATGAGCCCTAAGCAGGGCTCTAAATTTTCCACATTCGATCGAGATGAGGATGGAGTTCCTGGTCGTAACTTGGCGGAGGAATGGGGCTATGGCTGGTGGATCGATTCTAGTATGAGTGATGTGAGGTGTGTATTCGAATTTGATTGTTTCTTTCGTTTCATCTCCAACAGGAAAACTTTCTAAAATAACTAACTAAATAATTTTTTAATTGCATTTTTTATCTTTAAGCCGCAAACAATATTCCATGTTCATATACATTCGAAGAACAGGTTGAAGATAACAAGAAGCCTTTTAAAACGGTCTTCAAAAATGAAATATTTTTGAACAGGATACAGGATATAAGCTTATACGGCTTGATATTTTGATATATATTGATATAACGGCTTATATCAATAAGCCGTTGATAAACTGTATTCTGATATTTTTTAAATTTTGAATAAAATTTCAAAATAACATGTCTAAAAATTAATCAAAAATAATTGTTTTCACTTGAAGGTTGGAACCAAAATTTTCCATTTCAGACATTTCAGGTTCAGCCTCTACGGAGCATTTGAAAAATAAACGATCGACTCCGCTTTAGTTGTGGAAAGTGGCTAACAAACTTGGCCAGCAGCTGGATAATGATTTCCTTTGGAGTCTCCTTCCGTGGGCCCCTCTTAAAAAACATAACTTTCAGCTTTCTCAACCTAACTTTCATTGTCTAAAAACTCACAAATACGGCATGGCCGATCGCTCAGTTATGTGCGATCATTTCATATTCATTAGGATTCGCTTTCTTTCTCGTTTAAAAATGAATCTCGTTCATTGTTATTTTTATACCCTTGCATAGGGTATTATAATTTTGGTCAAAAGAGACTACGCAGGGAAGGGCTTATCTCCGATCCTATAAGGTATATTATTCCTGATCAGGAGCACCTCCTGAGTTGATATAAGCATGCCCGTCTGTTTCTACGCGAACTAGTCTCTCTGTTTCAAAGCTATCGACTTGAAACTTTGCGCGCTGTATACATATAAGTCGAAACGGCCGAGGTTGACCGATAATAACGATTGATCGGAAATAATATAAATTTGGTTTTTTTAAGCTAAATAATACAGAATAATACGACATACCAAATTTCATAAGGTTCCTATAGGAGACCCCATTTTCACGAAAAATGGACAAAAAATCTAAAAAATATTTGTCTAAGGATTTTAATGCAAAATGGTGGCAAATCGATCTAGAAATCGTTTAAGGTGCTCCGCTTGAGAATCGGATGAGAATTGGGGATGATATAGCCAGCCCTGTGGGTCCTTTAGGAGAGAACTCCATTTTCAAGGGATCCCATCACGAAAAATGGACAAAAAATCTAAAAAATAGGATATAGAATATATAAAAATGTAGGATTTGAGTTTAAAATGAGGTCTTCATTGGACTCAATGTATTGGATCATATGACCAGTGGAAAGCTTTATGAAGTGCTTTTAGACATCCATGCGTGGGCAAAAAGATGCGAAGGATATATCGTGAAAAATATTGGCAATTGTATTGGAGCTGACTGGAGGATCCCTAAGCAGGGCACCAAATTTTCGACCTTCGATCGAGATAGAATGGAGTTCCTGATCGTAATTTGGCGAAGGAATGGGGGTATGACTGTGCGCTCTTAAAAGTAGGCAATGCAAATTTAAGTGTGTCGATTTTCAGGTTTATAATTTATAAACAAACATGTTTTCCGTTAGAGACTATAGAAAAATTATGTTAATTAAGGATATTTAAGGAAGGAATGTAAGAAGACCGATTCTTTCGGTCAACTTGGCATTGTTCTTTTTATTGCTTTTCTATTTTTGTTGGGAGGTATTTATTATTACCCTTCAGGGTATATTTTTTTTTCAGACTCGGCAACCATTGAAGGAGTCTCCGACCCAAATATTTGATATTTATATTATTAGGACAAAAGGGGAAAAAATTAAGCCTGTTTTGACGCATTTCATATTCTTATAATACTAAATTTTTAAAGAAATTTATAACTTTACCACAAAAATTGGGACTTTAGTAAAAAATTAATAAAAACAAGAAATGAAAGCTAACTTCGGGCGGAGCCGAAGTTTATATACCCTTGCAGTTAAAACCAGATATATATCGCAAACATCTGATATAGTTGGCCGATCCTTATGAGAATATGATAATATAACCCAATTTATTATAATACAAAATCTAAAAAAAGTCCCAAACTTTTATCATCAAACATACCAAAGTTGATATTTCTACCAAAAACCATTTCCGATCGTTCAGTTATATGGCAGGTATAAGATATAGTCGGCCGATTCTTAATGTACAAGAAAGGAGCCGAAGTTGATGTACTCTTGCAGTTAAGATTGGATATACATATGTAGATCTCGAATATCGGATATAATTGGCCGATCGTTATTAGAACTTTATTTTAAAACCAATTTATTAAAACACCAAATAAAAAAAGTGACAAGGTTCTATCTTCAAAGATACCAAATTTGGTATTTTTAACCAATACCATTATCGATTATGAAATTTAGTATGTCATACTATTCTGCCAAAAATAGAACCTATAAAAAATTGCAACTTTCTTAGTCTAAAACACCAAACTTATGGCATTTCCGGTCAATCAGACATATGACAGCTATAGGATACAGTCGGCCGATCACTTATATTCCGACTTACATATATACTGCGTGCAAATCAAAGTTTTAAGACTTAATTAGACCATACAACATATACGTTGTAAGGTAATATAAAAATAATTTATTGCTTATATATTATGTACATATATAGCCTTAATATATACCAAGAAGAAAAAGCTAGGACCATAAACCGGATCTTGTTGCTAATCACCTCTCTCTAATCTCCAATAACCTTTGACATCCCTTCCGTACGAATTCTGTCTGTGGAATATTTTGGCTTTTCTATATGTGTGGGTATTTCCCAATTTCTTATCAGAAACTAAAGCTCAAGCTCATGGCCAAGGATGGCTATAAAAAGCCGGAGCTTGAAGACTCGCAGCATCAGTTGAAATATTCCCAGAGACTTTTTCAGTAAAAAATTCAGTTCATTCAAAAAAATACAAGATGATCTTCCCCGTGGCCCTCATTTCTGCCATTTTCCTAATTTCTGTCTCCTTGGGATCGGAAGAAGTAAGTTATACCTTTTTTGAGTGTTTTTATTTTGAAAAGTAATTTAATTTTTAATTCCACAGACCTGCCATCCCCTGGAAGAAGAGTGCGAGACCATTAATGTGCAACGGTACTTCGAGAAGTGCCACAAGAAGGATGTCCAACTCCTAAGGTGCAAGACAGACTATTCGAAACTTCAGAAACAATACTCGGATTTGCAGAGCGAGGATCTAAAACAATCTGAGATATCCAAATGCCAACAGAGTTATTCGGACTTGGTGAGAAAGCATTGGGAAGTGCAGAGTCAACTTAGTGATGAGAAAGTGAAATATACGCAGTTACATTCAAAAAAGCAGGAAGTTGAAAATCTAATAAATCTGAAAAATAAGGAAATCGACCTCCAAAAAGATCAAATTAGGGAACTACAAGAAAAAATTGAACTTGCAACGATGACTAAGTTCCGCGAAAACATAAATAAGTTAGGAAAAATATTAAAGATTGAAGAATTTCATGAAAATAATCCAACAAAATCGGAAGTCGAAACTGGGGAGGTCCCAACAACTCCATTGCCTCATACTAACATTGAGACGACGCCCAAAACAGAAACCATAGGTGAGTCGAAAGAACCCAGTTATTTGCAAAATAAAAAAAACGAGTTTTTTAGATTTTCCAGATCCTTGTCCACGAAACCAAAAAGAAGAACAAGTCCTCCGTGAAATACAACTACCAGGCTCCGACCCGTTTAAAGTGGTTTGTTATTTAGATTCGGATTTTGGATCTGGATGGTTGACTGTTTATACAAAATCGTTTTATTCAAAAATATTTAATCGCACGTATGAAGATTATGAAAGTGGATTCGGCCATGTCGGAACTGATATTGACGATGATTTCTTTATTGGGCTCAATCTATTGCACCGTCTTACCAGTGGAAAGCGTAATGAAGTACTTTTATACGCCACTTTGGGGACAAGAAGATGCGACCATTTTATTGTGGGCGATAGAAGCGACGGGTACAAGGTGAAAAGTATTGGCAATTGTGATGGATACGGCGCGATGAGTCCTATGCAGGGCTCCAAATTTTCGACCTTCGATAGAGATGAGGATGGAGTTCCTGATCGTAATATGGCGAAGGAATTTGGCACTGGCTGGTGGTTCAATCCTTTTATTAGGTGTGTATTCTAATTTGGGTTTTCATTTTGTTTCATCTCCAACTGAAAATTTCTAAAATAACTTAATTAAAATAATTTTTAAATTCTATTATTTCAGTTCTGCACTATTTAGAAGTGTCGAAAATTATGACATTTACATGTTCATCCGAAGAGCAGATTTAAAAAAACGAACAGAATTTTAAAACGGACTTGGAAAATGAAACATTTTTAGAAAATATAAAGATTATAAAAATGCATTAAAATGTAATTGTTTTAATAAGATAAACTGTTCTCTTATATTTCTTAAATTTTGAATAAAATTTCCAATTTAACTGAAAAACGTTTGAGAAGGTCGGAAACCAAAATTTTGAATTTCAGACATTTCAGGATCCGCCCAAGGCTCCGTCTTTGAAAAATAAACAATCGACTCTGGTTTAGTTGTGGGAAGTGACTTGAGGGGGGTATAGTTAAATTGGAGCAAAATAGACACTTTTTTTAAGAATTTAAATTTCATTCAAAAATATTTAAAATTAAGTGAGATAAGTGAAGTTCCAGATTTCTATCTTCAAAAACACGAAAGTTGGGTCATTTCCGATCGTTCAGTTATATGGCAGCTATAGGATATAGTCGGCCGATCCGGGCCGTTCCGACTTATATACTGCGTGCAAAGGAAAGAAGGGTGTGTGCAAAGTTTCAAGACCATAGCTTTAAAACTGAGAGACTAGTTTGCGTAGAAACAGACAGACGGATATGTTCATATCAACTCAGGAGGTGATCCTGATCAAGAATATATATACTTTATAGGGTCGGAGATGTCTCCTTCACTGCGTTGCACACTTTTGCCCAAAATTATAATACCCTCTGCAAGGGTATAAAAACCCCCATACAAATGAGTAAAATTCTTAGAATATTAATA